CAGGGGCAGAGATAGTACCGTGGATACATACTCTAGGCCAAGAGTGTTTCTCACCTTCTCTATATCCCAGTTAGCATGATCATCCTCCATCAAGTCCTTTACTCGCATATTCTCATCAGCACCGCTGGAAATTTGAAGGACTTTGGGCTTTCCATCTTGCTGCAACCAGGGGTCTTTCCATAGCTTTATATTACAGCCATTTCCCACTTTCCAAGCCAAGCCATCTCTTAATACATTCTTCGCACCCCACAAGCTTCGCCATAAATAACTAGGGTCATAACCCCTATTAGCCTCCAAAACCGACAAACGCTTAAAATATCTGGCTTTCAATATTCTGTGTAGCACTGAGTTTGGAGAGGTTTGCAACCTCCAAACTTGTTTTGCAAGCAAAGCTTGATTAAAAGACTCCAAATCCCGAAATCCCATGCCCCCATGCTCTTTGGTCTACAAAGTGCTTTCCAATTCTGCTAGTGTAGCTTTCTACTCTCATCCGTCAACCCCCACCAAAACCTGCATAACAGACCATGAATTTCATCTATAATTCCCCCCGGAATCTTGAAGACATTCATCATGTAAGTAGGGATTGCCTGTGCAACTGCTTTGATCAACACCTCCTTTCCCGGCTTTGATAGGATTTTTTCTTTCCACCCATTCAATTTCTTCCACACTCTTTCTTTTAACCCTACAAAGATTGCTTTTTTTTGATTTGCCAATGACTGTAGGAAGACCCAGATACTTTTCATGCCTGTTTACCTCTCAAACTCCCAATATCTGCGTGATTTCTTCTCTTTTTTCCACAATTACCTTTTTGCTAAAAACTATATCCGTCTTATCTAAGTTGACTTTCTGGCCTGATGCTCGTTCATAAACTCTGATAATATCAGCTACATTCAAGCATTCCTGAGGACATGCTTTAGCAAACAATATACTGTCATCTACAAAGAAAAGATGAGAAACTCTCGGAGCCCCTCTGCAAATATTAGCACCCTGATCTCTTTTTTCCCGAGCCGCCTTATTAAGCAAACCAGATAAAGCATCTGCACACAAAAGTAACAGGTATGGGGAAATCGGATCACCCTGTCTTAAACCCCAGGAAAGGATGACATTTCCACAAATTTCATTGTTGACCTTGAAGGAAAAAGATACAGTTGATAGACATCCCATGATACGATCCACCCAAGCTTCTGAAAAACCAACTTGATCATCACTCTCTCTAGGAAAGACCACTCCACCCTGTCGTAAGCTTTACTCATATCCATCTTTAAGGCTATGGACCCTTTCCTCCCCTCACCCCCTCTCTTCATAGCATGAAAGATTTCAAAAGCTACCATGGCATTATCAGTTATCAATCTCCTCGGCACAAAAGCACTTTGATTTTCAGAAATAATGGCATTAAGGCAGTTTTTTAATTTATTGGCCATCATTTTCGAGATGATCTTATATATTACATTACAGCAGCTAATTGGTCTGAAATCTTTCACATATTGAGGCTCATTACATTTCGGGATAAGAGTTACACATGTTCTATTCGTTTCCGAAATGTCAATAAGCCCATTCCACCAATTTTTCACAATATTAGTAATATCAGGACCAATAATATGCTAAATTTTCTGAAAAAACAAGGCATGCACGCCATCCGTACCTAGGGCCTTCGTAGGGTGCATTTGAAATAGAGCATTTGTTATGTCATCCGAGGTAAGAGCAGAGTCCAAAATCCGGTTCATTTCAGGGGTAATCTTCCTGTCAATGCTTACAAGAGCCTCGTCAAAGCCTCTGGGATTTTCTGAAGAGAATACGTTTTGGAAATATTCTGCAATCACTCTTTGCTTCTGTCCTTCGCTGTGCTGCCATTCCCCCATTTCATCGTATAAACTCGTCTTTTAGATTAAGTTGAACCTCTATCATATTGAAATTTCTAGTTTTTTTTGACATAATTGAATTTAGAAAAATGAACTAAAAGGCCTAATTTTATTTTGATGATTGTTGACTTAATTACTAGACACTTAGGCCTTGTTTGGAAAATGACTATTGGCGGTTGGCTGGATCACTTGGCTTGTTTGACCAGTTGGAATGTTTGGCTGTTTATAGTAGCTTTTGAAATTGGTTGTTTACGCTGACTGTTTATAAAATTGTTTGATAAATTTAGTTGTTGACGGTTGGCTGTTTATTAGATAATTTGTGGGCCAACAAGCCAGAAGCCAACAAAAAAAGCTACTCATAGCAGCTTTTTCATTTTGGCTTAAAAGCCAGCTTTTTCGCTAACAGAAAAGCCAATTACCAAACACTTTTTTTGGTTGTTTGACCATATAAAAAAGTCCAAAACTAAAAGCTAACCAAAAAGCCATTTACCAAACATGGCCTAAATCATGTTCAATTTAACTCACTTTGAGCTTGCTTATCACAAAATGCTAAAATTGTCTAATTAAAGTTTTTAACTTATTTGTAGTATATTGTATTTGAACTTACTTTTTTTTTTTGTTTGTTTTTTACAATGGTAAGAAAAAAAGAAAACATTTGGAAACCCTCCTTGCGAGGGGAATTCCTAATGCGTCGGAAGAAATGATAGGAAATAAAGAAAAATTATTACAAGGAACAACATCTATACTATCACTAATTAAATGACCAACATTTGCTATCCAATCTGCTGCTTGATTTGCCTCCCGAAAAATATGATAAATGTTTCAATTATCGAATTTTCCAGGAAGAAAACAAATTAATGGAACAATATCCATATGAATGCTTGATTTCTTATGGACTCGAAACAAAAATATACCTCGGCCATTTATTTTTAAAAAAAAACTACTGAGTAACAAAAAAATCCAATGATTCATGGGCCAAATACCAAAACCCGAATACACCAAAATGTAGGATACCTTGGGCCCGAATTAAAATCCATCAAAATGACAGAAAATAGTCAAATCAACATCAGTCACTATCTTCTTTCTAAGTGGGTCCCGCACAACCACAGTAAAATATTTGGTTAAATTATTACAAACAAATACTTGGAGTACTTGTATTTAAATATGAAATTGAGAGAAAAATTCCCTCTAATACTTCGTCACACTTTCCTTCCAATTAACACGTCATCAATTAGTGGGTCCCAACTCCCAACTCTTGCCACTCTTCTTGTTTTTCACCATTTTTCCTACATGTCATCTTCTTATTGGCCAGCTGACTTCTAGAGCCCCTCCTCTCTCCTCAATCTTCTTCGTAACGCTTTTTGAATTTCCTATTTTACCCTCTTACAACCTTATACGAGTACCGTACTTGTATTTATTAAAATTGTATAGTACTATCGTATACATTTCTTAAAATGGTACAACGTTTAAACTTAGTAATTTATCACAACAACATACGATTTTAAAATTGGTGTAGTTAGTGTTTTTCTTACGCATAATTATAGTTTATTTATTTTGCAACTTTTTTTTTTTTTATTTTACTTTTTATGAACTGCGTGTATTTATCATTTATTCTAAATTCAATTTAAAAAAATAATATTTTTCTAGCTAAAAAAAAAGTAAGAAGTATTTTATTGCCGTGTTTTATTCACATTATGCGTGGAGACTTAACACGGGTACATGTTTTTTGTAAAATATTTGTCAATAACCAAGTACTTGATTGGTTTCTAACCAAAAATTGGGAACTGGAATCAAACCAGTTGTAGCTAATTCTTAACTTTATCACTCGAATTTGAACCATTGTTCCAATATTGTCAATTTCTAACTGGTTAGGGTTTTAATTTTGGGTATCTAGAATTATTGCTCACCCTTAATCAAAAACGTCACTCTTTGACATGCAATTTTACTAATATGAATCTTGTCCATTGTTATGTCTAAGCACGAGGTTGAATTTCATATAAAAGAAGAATATATTATCGTTTTAGTGGAAATGTGAAAGACAATATAAGATAGAGTGAAATCAAAATCCACCATGTATCGTCAAATGTGACTGGGAATGTTAGAGAAATATTGTGCGCTTATAGACAAATTAGCACAATTCCATTAGTTTCAATGTAGGGTCATAAAATAAATGAGAATAAGTGAGGAACATCGTGTTGGCAAAAATAACCAGAAATAACATCACATGATTTTAATTTTTGAAACCTCAAGTCATGAAACAGGTGTTAACTATGAATGAGAGACGTTACATTATAAACAACATGACATAAATTCATTGGTTGTATTGACATGTAGACAGCTAGAAATTGTATGACATGAATCCAATAACTGAAATCTCACATTTTATAACTAGTGAGGAGAAATAAATAACGCGGCATGAACCCATTGGTTGAATTAACTGGTAGAAAGAAATAATGTGACACTGATTAGTTGATCAGTTGAGATTGCAATCTCAATTCATAAACCATGTGAAGAAAAAGAGAATTATTGCTTGCAAAAACAACTGCTATGAATCCATTGACGGTATTAACTTGAATCAGTAATTAGCTGACAGATGTTAAAGAATACATTAATTGTAACCTTGATGTCATACTACAAGTGGGAGAAATAGGAAAGATTTTTATGTGTCATTTTTTAAGTGGTTAAATAAACGTGGCAGTTAGAAATTAGAAAGATCACAATAGTTACAAAATCAACTTTAGTATAAATCAGGCCATTATTACATGTGTAAATTACTCATATTTGCTTCTTATTCTACTCATATATACAGAGTAATTTTTAAAGCTGCTTATAATAAAACCGATAAAGGTAATTTTCTAATTTCTTTAATTTTTCTTTGGCCATTATTCTGGGTTAAATTGCTCATTTTTTTTTCATCTTCTATTCATACATACAGAGTAACTCTTAAAGATGCGTACTCGTATATCAATACCGATAAAGGTAATTTTCTTTAATGTTTCTTTTATACACCAACTGGTAGACTACTAGTATGAGCGAGGGGCGAAAATGGAGTTTCACATAGGTGATTAACGCGGCTGAGTGGACGCGGGATATACGAGAGAAAATCTATTTGTCCATTTCCATAAATTGATAAATTGACTCACTTTCTCTCTCTCTTCCTTTCCCTTTATTCACCTGTGTAAGCAAACTCCTCAATTCTCTCTCCTCACTTCTCTACTCCCCTTCTCCTTTCATTGATTGATTCCCAGAATTTTCTTGCTACTGTATCAGTAATTTTTTTTTTAAAAAAAAACAGCAAAAATACCCCAAAAAAAAAAAATCAGTTTTTTTTTTTTTTTACTTCTTCAATGCTTAATTTCTATGGTTTGTTTTTAAGCTGATAAAGTTTGAGTATTTAGGTTCGAAGAAGAAGAAAGATGGGAGCTTTGGCTATGCCTTTTGAAACGTTGCCGCTCGGGTTTAGATTTAAACCGACGGATGTTGAGTTGATTGATCATTATCTTAGGTTGAAGATTAATGGCAAAGAAAATGCTGTCGCTTGCATCAAAGAAGTTGATATTTGCAGGGTTGAGCCTTGGGATCTGCCTGGTAATATATGTTTTTTTTTTTTTTTTTTAATTTTTTTTTTATTATTATTTATGTTTTTGTATGTGTGTCTTCTTTGATTTTTTTTTTTCCTGTATTTTTTGAATTTTTTTTGTGTAATTATTGGTGTTTGATTTGGTGGGTATTTGAAAAATGCTGTGAATTTTGTGGGGTTTTTGAGGATTGATGTGAATTTGGGTTTTTTCAGTGTTTGATTATTGATTTTTAATGATGTTCAATTTTGGATTGCTCTTCAATGATCTTGTGTTTGATGAATTGGGGATAATTTGTGAAATGGGGAATTAGGGTTTTGTAATGATGATTATGAACTGTTGTTGACTTGGACCGATTATTCGGGATTAACTTGGTTTATTTAGGTGAATTGTAGTATTTTGGTTGGTCATGGATATAGGCTTCGGTTCGCGATGTAATTCTTGTTGTTTTAATTACTAATTAGTTCCAAATTCATTTGGTTTGTTTATGAATTTTTTGCTGATTATTTTTTTTGACGGGAAGTTTTTGCTTATTATTGTGCTTTGTTTGTTGATGATGGGGTTCAGATTTGTCAGCTATTAAAACGAATGATCATGAATGGTTCTTCTTTTGTCCTCGTGACCGGAAGTACCCGAATGGTCAAAGATCGAATCGAGCTACCGAAGCTGGCTACTGGAAGGCAACTGGTAAGGACAGGAGCATCAAGCAGGGTAAAAAGGGTTTAATTGGTATGAAGAAGACCCTTGTGTTCTATACAGGGCGAGCTCCCAAAGGGCAGCGTACCAGTTGGGTTATCCATGAGTATCGCACTACCCTGCAGGAGCTCGATGGCACAAATCCCGGACAGGTATAATTAAACTCCCTTGCGCTATGGATTTGTATGTTAATTCAACTTAATTCTTGTTTCAATTTTAACTCTCAAGGGATGTTTTCATGCTTGTTGCCTCTTCCTAGATGGCCTGTGCTAATATGAGGATGTGTGTGTGTGTTGGAGTTGGGGAAGGGGAGGGGGGGGGGGTGGAATTCGTAGTATGCGTTTCATATTATCACATTAGAGAATCTTATGTCTGGATTTCTTTCATTATATGATATTATTGGGATATCAATGTGGCTTTCATTGCTTGTGCACTTAGCCTTGATTGTAAGGTTATGAAAGAATAAGGTTTATGGAAGTTGAATCAAGAAAGAATAAGACTCTTTAGAACTTTTGATTCAAGTAAAAAAAATCTTCCGTAATTTTTGTCCTGCTTTATTGCTATGTCTTTTCTGAATCCTTTGGTTTGAGCTCAAGTTAGAATGCCTAGAAAACATCCATGGTGCTTTTAGACACTTACTCCAGGATGTTGTTTCTCGATTTAGTACAGCAATTAGGACATAGAATGAAACATGTCTGGTCTTCTTTCTTGAGGATTTGACTATGTATATTCAGTGATAGTGTTCATTGAGTGATTACCTCTTCTGATCTTGCAATTTTAAATTCCTGATGTCTCACTTTTGACACAATAATTGACTTTTTTTCCCTTAATAAATTCCTCTGACAGGGGGCTTTTGTTCTCTGCCGCTTATTTAAGAAAGCTGATGATTTGAAGCCAGATGATAATGATGATGGTTCCCATACTGATGAAGTTGAAACAAACATTTGCTCACCTAATCCAACTAATATCACACAGGAAGACATTCGGTCTGGTCCAGCAGTTTTTGCAGCTTCTCCCTTGTCTGTTGAGCAAAGTGTAGAGCAACAATTGATATCTGAGACTTGTGTGGTCAAAACTTGTGATAGTATAACATCTGAGACGGTGTTTCCTAATCATGCTCGGGTGAATGAAGAAATAGTGCATGAGGTGAGTATATCAATAAATTCCTTGTTATAATCTATTTCTATTTGCACATAATAGATTATTGGGATTAACTTTTTGTCCACTTGTGCTGTTTTGTGTTGCTTGTCAGGTGGATTCCCATATCAATGAACCATTTAGATTCAATGATTCCCCGGATTCATACTATACATGGCAGTCGATGCAGATGAACCAGGAACCAGTTGGCATGGAAGACATTTTCCCTGCAGATTTTGGTGATGGTCATAATGGATTGCACCTACAGGACATCAATGGAACAGTAGAAGCTTCTGGCTACATGGGTTCTTTTATGAATCAAGATGTACTCTTCTACAAGGAACCCCATGGGGATCCATTTGCTGAAAGTGACATGTGGAAGAATTCATCTGGCAAGGAGAGTGGATCATGTAGCGGGTCTGATGTTGAAGTAGCCCAGCTGAAGGTAGATATCTTGCTAGCTACCATTGATCATAATTCTTAAAGTTTTAACAGCAATGAACCGGGTCAGGTGATTGATTGCTAAGTCAAACTACTGGCTTGGATACTTAATTAAATGATCTTAATAACTTCAATGATAAAATGTATAAACTTCCTAATATTTTAGACCACAAGTCTTCTGTATCTAACAGATTGTAGGTCAATTTGAGTGGGAATAATAAGAGGGAGCGATAGTATTAGTGGGAATCAATAAATTGGGGAAAATATCATTTTTTTTTTTTTTTGCTGCCCAAATGAAGCCTACTTTAGTACTCTGTTCAGGAATAGGTCTGAGATTGAGAATGAGATTCCTTAATATGCATATTCTTTGTACTAAGAACCAACACCTAGATATCCTGGTTTGTCTATGCCCCTTGGTGGAGTCAATTAATAAAATTGCTTGTGTGCCCATCCCACCAAGGTGCATTGGTGTATTACTGGAGCCACCTCATTTCACTAATAAGACTGATCATTGTTTAGACCCCTTTTTGCGGTGTATCACTTGGCGGATTGGCTGCTTGGTCACTAAGTTTTGTTTGGTGCGTAGCATGCTTGCCAAGCATAGGCTCTCAGTGGTGGCTGCACTATATGCAGTTTGTTTTGCATGTGTCATGACAATCATATGTGGTGGTTGTGGATGGATACACTGATATTGCTATTTTATTGTGCAGCATGATGTAGGATTTATTGGATGCATTACTGGTGACAAGAATTATAATGAACCAGAGGGCTACAAGGAACTTATACAGAATTACCCGTTAGCTGATGATGATAGTATCTTTGATGATGATGTTCTGTATCGGTTCCTTGGCGATACTAGCACCGTACAACCAAATAATTGTCCCCCAACACTTGTTAGCGGCGGCTGTATGAAGACTGAAGATAATCAAATTGGTGGAAGTAATGCAATCACGATAAGGTCTCGTGCCTGTAATAGACAATTTCCGTCTTCTAATAATTTTGCAGGGCAAGGAACTGCAAAAAGAAGATTACGCTTACAAACTTTCAAGGGTGAAGATTCAGACTCAACTGTCACCGAGGGAATAGCTCCTCATGAGGATATTATCTGCTTAGCAGATCTTGCCGAAAATTCTGTTGCAGCAGATGGAAATGAATCATGCTTGGATGATGTCAAAGTTGTTGAAACCGGAATCAAGATAAGAACCCATCTTCAGAGATCTCAGCCGAGTGCAGCTAATTCTGTGGAGCAGGGAACTGCTAAGAGGAGAATCCGCCTGCAGAAGCGATATACTTCCATCGCTGAGGCAGACGCGTTTAAACCATCCGTTACTGAGTTTAGGAGTTTGTCAGAGGAAGTTTGTGAGAAGCAATGTGCTGACAACTCTGAAGGCAGATCTAAAAATCATAGTTTATTTAAGAGGTCAGCACCTGTGCTTATGATTAAGGTAGTTATTGTTGTTTTCTTGTTCATGGCTTGCTTTGGCCTATGGATAGCTCGAAGTGTGTTTATACTCTCGAGCTGAGTTTTGTATATGAGTGACCCTCATTTTTAACTGCTTATTTAGGGTAAGAGGGGTGAGAGGGGCCCTAGTACAGGTTCTAGACTGGGTTGTGTTTAGGCTATCCCTTTGATTTTAGAGTATCAGAGTTAGCTTGCTGATCTATATGTATAATCATATGACAAAGCTCTTAAAAGGTTTTTTGTTTTGTATATTTCTAGTTTCATCATATTCTTCTTGGATGTTATATCGTCCACTCTTCTTAGTATATAATATCTCATGTTTAGTAACATAGGTCTTTATTTCATATACCGCCTTAAGTGAGAACTGATGAAGTGCTGCATTGCAAGAGCTGGAGAAGTGGAGATACTGTGATTAGTCTCACTCTCTTGAGATATCTTGCTGGTGGAAAATTAATAAAAATAATAAATATACATAGATTTTATGATTTGACCCCCACACCTAGCAAGTGACTATAGACCTTGATAATGGTATCCAATATTGTACGGAGTATTTATGTTCAACCATCAGCGAGGATGACTTAAGGTCGAAGCTGAGAGCTTGAAGATCACTCTAGTCGTGGCTCGTGGCTTCATGGGCCGTTGAACTCGAGCTTGGACTTCTTATGGAAGATGCTTGTAAATCCTTTTTTAAATTGGTATGCTCTTCCTCCGTCGAAACACAAACACTTTTCTTTTGGCTATACTCCGTAGTGGCTATCCGTCGACCTTTTTGTTAGATGGCAAAATCCTAATTTTTGGTTTATTTACTACGGAGTATAATAAGTTTTTTTTTTTTTTTTTTTTTTTTTTTAAATTTATTTTCATTATAAACCTCTATTTTCTCACTATATTGGAGTGTTTTCCTACCAATTTTGGAGTTATATATATATATATATAATTTAAGTTTTATCTATTGCCTTTTAAAAGTTTGGATTCATGTTTTTTAATTTTGCAGGATAAATTGATTCGTTGATGAGGATTTGTGTGATGTAGTGGCAGAGGTCAATTCTACTTCTACAACCAATTGAATCAAATTCTGTTCAATTGCAAAATTACAATATATTGAAAGACCTCCAATAGAAGATGTATCAAGCAATGATGTGAAAGAGGATATTCAACAATGTTAGACCTTATGGACAACAACCGTGGTTTTGCTTAACTAGAACATATTTGATCCAACAAAGTTTGTATTAGCTAATTTTGATTTCTTTTGTAAATATAGCATGACTTTTTAATTAATATATTAGTTTCATTTTCAAACAAATACTTATTGATACTGAGTAATGGGTATGCAAACAAAATTAGGAAAAATAAATAAACAAAAAACAGACAAAATTAATTGATACAAATAAAGGTAGGAACGAGATGTACTAGTGTGCTACTTGCTCAAGCGGGCCGTCCTTAAATTGGACCAAGAAAATAAATGTGTCGTGTGGACTTGTGTTGATTTAAAAAAAAAAAAATAGAGGTCATGCATGTCTTAATCTACTTTGTGTGAACACATGAACACATCCCTTAAATAAATTTTCATTTTTTTTGGTAAATTGATCAAAATTGGCCCAACTCATGGGTCATTCCGTCATGATCGCATCGAACTCATACTAAATTCTTCAAATAATATACATGCACAATTCATGGCATACCAACACATCTCTCATACCACGCCATAGTTTTCATGGGTTTAATCGGATTGGACTATTATCGTGCTAGTCCGACCCATCCCATGACCAACTCTAATACGGACAATTACTTAGTAAACTCACTCGATGCCCCTTAACTCCATCGAATAGCTTATACTTCACCAAATTGGTCCACCTTGACTCATGGTACTATATTAAGAGTAATAAGTCGGTGTTTCGATTTGTTGGCCACCATCAATCACAAGCACAGAAAAACGCAGCCGTCTAAATCCCCAAACCCACCAACACTCAGACATGGTGGTTTCTTCCTCGATATCTCCAGTTTCCTCCTCTAGTGGCGTCTTCTCCAACACATTGTCTCGCTCTGATATCAAGCTCTCCAGATTCTCTCTTCCTTCTTCTACTCGTTCTTCTCTTTTCTCTCTCCTCCACCCTTCTCCTCTCTCCAGGTTCTTTCATTTCTTCTCCGCCTCTTTTTTTGTGTTCTGTACTTTGATTTTGATTTTGATCTTGATTTTAATTTTCTGTTCTTTGATTATGTTTGCGTGCTTAATTTGTTGAATTTTTATTGTTTTGAGCTTGTTTTTTATGAATTGATTGATTAAAGTCGCTTTTGGAATGCCGATTTTGGTGGTGGAATCTGCCTTTCGCTTGATAATGAATATTCTGATGTCAGATATTTTGCATTTTGCCGTTTTTATTGTTATTTATACTTTCTGTAGTTTGACATTGACGTTTTAATCAAGTGAAATTGAACATATTTTTTCTAATATTTACACTGTGATTCAGAAAAATTTAGAATGGAGATGTTCAACAACATTTAATTTGGCAGATGTAAATTAACCTATCAAAAGTTTATCTTTGACTTATGAATTAAAGAATAATGCCTTGTTCAATTAGCTGATTTATACAAATCGGATTTGCTAAATTGAACTGGTATTGAATGTATTGATTCGACTTTTGTTGATTAATTACGATGAATTTTTGCTAAAGATGATTTTTACAGTTTTAAAAAGAGTTTAGTTGTTGTTAGGATGACCTGGCATATTTAAACTCTGGATTCTATGAAATCCGAACTCTTGAAAATGTGCTGAGTGTTTCTGTTCTGATGAATTTTGTGTTTTTTCAGAAATACTTTGGTATCACAATGGGGAAAGCGGTGGCAATATCCTGGTTTCGTCCACGCCTCTACCAAAGGTTAATTATGTTCCTTAGTAGAATAGTAGTAATAGACTAATAGTTGCAGTAATGAACTAGTTTACTGTAAGTAACTTGCCAAGATGATGTGCAACTTTCTCATTGGTGTTACTCATACATTGTTGCAGCTGCTTCTTTAGAGGCTGTGGTTGAAAAGGTTGAGTTGCCTAAAGGTGACATGTGGTCTGTTCATAAATTTGGTGGGACTTGTGTTGGATGCCCCGACAGAATAAAGAGTGTTGCAGAAATAGTTGTGAAAGACGTGTCTGAGAGGAAGTTGGTGGTTGTATCTGCCATGTCGAAGGTGACTGACATGATGTATGACTTAATCAAGAGGGCACAATCACGGGATGAATCATTTCTGTCTGCGTTGGATGCTGTTTTAGAGAAACACACATCAACAGCTAAAGATATGTTGGAGGGAGATGACCTTCTTAGTTTCTTATCAAGACTTCATGATGATATAAATAATCTTAAAGCAATGCTTCGTGCAATATACATAGGTATGAGCGAATAGTTTCTAGGCTCTCTTGCATACGGTGAAAAGTCTAGATACTGCATCAATGTTTTTTACCTTGTTAGTTTTATGTGCTATTTCTTGTATTTCAAAATTGGTATGACATATTGGACTCATATAACCAACAATAAGTGGTATTCTTTCCGCTTCATGTGTTATTATTGTTGATGGTTGTGCACTTATGCAGCATATCTGGAAGAGCGTCACGAAGCTTCTATTGGTGATACGATGTTTATGATTGTAGTTAGATTGAAGTATGAAATTTTTGAGTTTGACAGTGGCCTTGCCCTTTTTTTTTTTTTTTAATTAAAATAACATTAGATTTTAGATGATACTCTTTGTATGCAAAGTCTTATAAACCTAAAGATCTGATTCTTCTTTTCTATATTCTTTCACAGCTGGTCATGCTACTGAATCATTCACTGATTTTGTCGTTGGATATGGAGAATTGTGGTCTGCACAGATGCTATCACTTGTCATCAAACAGGTTTTTCTATTGTTATTCTTTGTTTAGATTATTATTAATTATGTGGTTGTTATATTATTTCCAACCTTTTCTCTGGTTCCACTTCTTAATGTGCAGAAAGGTTATGATTGTAAATGGATGGATACCAGGGATGTCCTTGTTGTAAATCCAACTAGTTCTAATCAAGTTGATCCAGATTTTCCTGAATCTGAAAGAAGACTTGACAAATGGTTTTCTAATAACCCATCAAGTATCATTATAGCAACTGGCTTTATAGCCACGACCCCTGATAACATTCCAACTACCCTTAAGAGGGATGGAAGTGACTTTTCTGCGGCTATAATGGGTGCTCTTTTAAGAGCTGGTCAAGTTACAATCTGGACAGATGTTGATGGTGTTTATAGTGCTGATCCGAGAAAAGGTCTGCATATGTTCAGCTTAATTTTTTTCCTTTTTCTGGGTCTTTTTATCCTAGCCATAATGCGCTCATGGTTGATATCAATTTATTTGCAGTGAGCGAAGCTGTGATACTCCACACATTGTCTTATCAAGAGGCTTGGGAGATGGTAAAATTTTTAACTCATTAATTTTTTAACTGTGCTTGTAAAATTTTGTGGTATAGTTAACAAAATTTTTGGCTCTTCTTTTCTTGAAGCTTTACAATAGAATATTAGATACATATTTGACTCTTATTTACAGAGTTATTGTCATTACCATCCTTGGTATTTAAATTGTTAATTTGATTTGCCTGCAGTCATACTTTGGGGCTAATGTATTACATCCTCGGACAATCATTCCTGTGATGCGATATGACATTCCAATTGTAATAAGAAATGTTTTCAACCTAGCAGCTCCTGGAACTAAAATATGTCGTCCTTCTGCTGACGATAATGGCGAGCATGTGCAATCTCCTGTGAAAGGGTTTGCAACAATAGATAATCTGGCCCTTGTAAATGTTGAGGGGTAAGATAATATTTGTCAATATGACCTATCTCTATGTCCTTTTGTTTTGTTACTGTTCCCAATTAACTTGGACGATCCAATTTGTGCTTGACAGTACTGGTATGGCTGGTGTTCCTGGTACTGCTAGTGCCATTTTCAGTACTGTGAAGGATGTTGGGGCTAATGTTATCATGATCTCTCAGGTACTTGGCCTTTGTTCTTTCTCTCCTCTCTAGGAATTTGTGAGGTTCAGTTTTTTTTTTTTTTAATTATGTTTTGGTCTTGGACATACATTGTCATTATCTCTTGGGCTCCTTCCAGCTTATTACTTATTATGGACTAGTGAGTAGTGAGATTTGGAGGCTACAAACTGAATGTGCTAGGTTCAAATGTTTATTTATAATGCAGGCAAGTAGTGAACATTCGGTGTGCTTTGCTGTCCCCGAGAAGGAAGTAAACTCTGTGGCTGAAGCTCTACGGTCT